TATATGTGTATTTTGGCTAAAATCAATTATTTACTAAAAGAGTGTGAGGATGAGAAGAGAAGTGTTTTTTTAATTATTTTTGAACAATATGAAAATCTAAGAAAATAAAATCATATGAAGAAATTAAACTAGGCCCAAATTCGAAATCCACCATGTAAAGCATAAAGGCAAAGTTGAAAGGGAACCCTAGAAGTCATGCGACAGCTGCAGTTGGTATTTGGTCCATGCATATTTCAATTAATATGAATTAATATCCCCAATTAACAAAAAAGTTAATTAATTATAATTGAACCAAACAAAAATTAAACGTGAAATCTCTCTTATTGCCTCTGTTTTCTGATAAACACATAACAACTCTCTTTCTCTCTATTGCTCACCATCTTTGTTCATCATCGCTCAAAATTCTTTCACAAATCACTATCTGTGTTTTTCTCTTGGCAAACAACAATAACAACGGTTCGACCACTCGATTCATTCTCTCACTTGTGATAGACAATAATAACAATGTTCTCTCTGCTTCTATACTCTCAAATTCTCACCTTCTCAAAATTGATTTCTCTCACTCACCATTCTCGATTCACTCAGTTCGTATACTCCCTCCATCAACAACCTAAACAAAATAGAACAATCACAATGAAACTTCTTCTCAAGTTCTCGTCTCTCGGTATTCTCTCTCCATGTTCAAACTCAAAAGCCATGGATGCATAAGAGTTTAAGTGAATAAAGAAAGATATGAGTAATACCTCAAATCAGAAAGGAGATATTTTGATATCATCTCCGACGAGTTTGTACTTTTTTCGGTGTTAACTATGAATCCATCAATAGTAGGTACTTCAATTATTTTTTCTCTTTCTCTGTTTGTGCATTTGGATGTTGTTATTGTGAGTTCTGCTTCTGAATTTGTGCAGCTCTACACATTGCCGCTTCTGTTTGAGGTTGTTGTGAATGAATATAGAACCAATACGTGCATTGTTATTGTTAATTTGCAAGTTCTATATGAAGCTTATGCAGGTAAAGTTTGGAGATGACGGAGGTATTGAGTAGAGTTGGAGATTTTTATGGACTGGCCCAACAATCAGAATGGGCCCAATCTAGATTGCTCCTTCGGTATGACACATACGACCATGACCCAGATCTCCCCCGCCCTCTGTCGGGAGCCATCAATCGTTTATTATCCTAGATCGGCACTGACCCATGATGATTGACGAGCACCTCTTAGTCTTCCCGACCTTAAGTCGCCCAGACAACTAGGAACCGACCAGACTGCTTCCCGTAACCTACCTCCTCGGAACTAACAGCTAGTTGTGCATACACATGTTCGATATGACCAAGTCCTGGAAGTTACCTATTTTCACGAACCCGCATATCTAGGCCCAAAAATAGGAACCAATGGCCATGCGCTAGGGGAAATATATAAACCCTCACATATGTGAGGGCCAGGGATCGAAGATTCACTATTCACCCCTAAAACCCTAATATTCTTCTTGTATCTCCTTGCTCCCGCACTTACTTGTTCGTAGGAGTGCCTTGAAAGTACAACCCCCTTTTTCCTCCTCGACTTTCCATCCCGACTGAAGATCATCATCCAGCTATCTTGCAGGCTTTGATCAATCGTAAGATCAGTGGTGCTGTATATGGGAAACTATCTCCCCTGTTTTATGTTCCCCAGAAACTATCTCCTCATTCAACAATCATGGTTGACTGTGATGATCACCACCCGTATGGAAAGGATGCACTTTCCCCAGTTCATAAGACCGACAAAAGTAAATAACATCCTCATCTTGAGGATAACTTTGGCTTCTATGATGATCGGACTACGTCCCTAGATTCAGTCGACGCCCAACACGATGATCATCAATTCTTGGACGAGCAGTGTCCCAAGATCCCCACCGAGGAAATGCTAAAGATTTTTCAACTAGTTCCCATTCCTCAAAACACTGACCCGGCCATTGCAGCATTACTCGCTTCCATCAACCAAACTAACACCCTTATCATGTAGCAAAACAAGATGATAGGGGCCTGGGAGAAGAAGTAGTCAAAGTCTTCTCCTCGGAGACTCCGAAGATGAGATTCCCCCAATGTATCTCCACCTAGACTTGGCCATCTGCCAAGAAAGGAGAGGCCCTACATTTATTTCTTCAAGAAATACAACTCCACACCTCCCATGAAAGATCAAGATTCTCCATCATCCAAGAAGAAGAAGAGTAATCGCCAAGTTGACCGTGGTTGATAACCATCACCCAAGCTAAGATATCAACGGAAAATTCCTTCCCTCCGACGAGACAATGATGCCTGGCGGGGAAGGAACTATCACTCCTCATCTCCATCTCCCATAGAAAGAGATAATGACGAGCCCCACGACCTGTTATCAAGAGAAATTACAGAAGCCCAGCTCCCAATCGGCCTGGAAAAGCCACCCCCACTGGGAACATATGATGGTACAATTGATCCTGATGAACACATAGAGAATATCGATGCTCTCCTAGATTGCCGAGGGGTCAGGGACGCCATCAAATGCATATTGTGCCTGACCACCCTGAGGAAGGGAGCAATGTCTTGGTACAAAAACCTCCCAGACGAGTCTATTACCTCCTGGAAATAGCTGGGGAAGATGTTCTCGAGGAATTTCATCGCCTCCCATAGACACCCAAAATCAGAGGCTTCACTTAAAGCAATCATCCAGGGCAGAGATGAGTCTCTACGACATACATCAAGTGTTTCAAAAAGGAAGCAATACATATTTCCACGACTGACACCATAAAGAAATACCTTCTTGAGTGTCGGCTTCATCCCTGTAGCGACTTTGCTAAAGCAGTGGGCATCGAATCATCGGCCGCGATCGACTCCCTCTTCCTCAAGGCTCAAGCATACATACAATACGAGGATAAAAAAGCCGCCAATAGTGCCAGGGAGTCAAGGCACAGAGAAAGTACCAAGTCCTTAAGAAGTGACAAGCCCTCGACATCCCGTCGGGGAGAAAAGAAACGGGTAGACAAATCTCGATACTCTAAAGACTACAAGGGGCCTGCTGGTCGGTTTCACGACTATATCCCTCTAACTACTTCAAGGTAACGTATTGTGTTTGAATGCGCCAATTCCAAATTCAAACAGGCTGGGGTACGCTTTCCTCGAAAACGCCTTCCAAACCCGGAACCAACAAGAGAACATATTGCAGGTTCCATAAAAGCCACGGGCATAACACCGAGGATTGCATCCATCTCATGGGGATTAGCAGCCATAATCTTGGCGAAAGATCCCTCGCCAGGAAAGCCCTACGAGTGGGATATTACTGGCCCACCATGTAGCATGACATAAAAGAACATGTGAAAAAATACGACAAATGCCAACGACACAGAGACATGAATTTAGCTCCCCCAAACGAGCTCAAGTCCCTCTTATCTCCGACCCTTCGCCTGGTGGGGATTGGACCTCCTCGGTCATTTTTTAGTGGGGACCTATAGCGATAAAAAATGTAGCGGTGTAAATCAGAGATCAAGATATTAATTAACTCGACTCATAAACGTAAGAGTCGCCGCCGAGCTTTATTATTTCCAAGGGAAAAGGGAAAATAGCGAAATAAAATCCTTAAATATGCAATGTAAAATAATACTTAAAAGTTATGAAAATACAATGCGTTTTTTGAAAGAGATCTAGTGTTTGGGGGTTGGTTAACAATGGGAAGGTATTAACATCTAATGCATCTGCGGTACTCCGCAGGAACCTTTTGTAATATATGTTTTTTGGTTAAAATTGTTTGTTTGGTTAAAAATGGTTTGTTTGGTCAAAATGAGTGTGAATGAGACTTTGAAGATACGACGACCTAGTGTCGAAGTTTTGACTTAAAAGGTGTGAGTTTTAAAGTTGAGTTTTTTTTTTTAAAATTAACCTAAGATTAACAAAACTAAAAAATGTATGAAGGGTTTCGCACAATTGGATAAGATGTATTTGATGACGTGAGGTCAACAAAGTTAAAACATTTCCCTTGCATTTGAGACGAACGAAAGATACAAATATTAAATTATCGAAAATGAAGTTAATTAGAGCGACAATTGAATAATAATAAAATTCAATAAGAGATTAATTTATAAGCATATATTTTTAAATGATTAAATAAATAACCAAAATTAAATAAAGACTAAATTATAATAGCATATATTTTTAACAATTAAATAACAAAATTTAAATAAGGACTAAATTATAAAACATGTATTTTTGTACAATTAAATAAATAACAAAAATTAAATAAAACTAAATTATAAAACATGTACTTTGAATAACAAAAAAAATTAAATAAAATATTAATAGCATGTTAACAAAAATTAAATAAAAGATAACATGTATTTGAGTAAATAAAAATTAAGTGTAAGATTAATTTGATAATATGTTTTTTTTTATATTTTAATGGAAAGAAACAAATTATATATATAAATTAAGTTAATATTTTGTTAAATAAGGCTAAAGAACTAAAAACAAAATAAAATGCCTTGGCAAGGTGTTCAAACTCGGGTCCCTTAAGGTCATAGGTGGTGTGCTTTGCCAACTGAACTAAGCTAATTATTTGTTATTGTCTATGTTTCTATTAAAATAAAAAGGTGAATATGATAATGGGATTGGGCCAAAAGGTCCAAAGGGCTGACCCGATTGGGAAAGGACAGGGAAATATTTGGGAAACCTTAAAGGTGATAGAGAGGTGCCGCAGATGGTTGTGTCTTAAGAAGGGATATACAGATTAACTATTGTTTCCAAGAAACTATTCTTTCTATGCTTAACCGTGAAAGAACAAAAATTAAACTCTCTCTCTTCTAAATTTTCTTGGCTTCATCTTGTACTGAGTGAACCTCCACCTGATTCAGCTTGAGTAACACCATAAATAAGGTCCAACCGCTCCTTCGAAATTATATTCGTACCACTAAAGAGATGTGGTAGAGGAGAACTACCAGACATAGAACCATCTTGCCAAAGATGAACCAAAGAAGTAGTCCAACTAGGAAGATTAATCATCACAAAATTGCAGCCTCACCATTCGCATGTGTAGCGCTCAACTTCGAATGACTATAGCTAATATTACTCTCTGCTAATTTAGTACCGAAATTCATAATCGATGAGGTATAAGCTCTTAGGGAACCGCTAGATTGTGTAATTGCGACCAAAGCTTGACCTCCATTCATGGAGGAAGTGAGATCATCGTTAGGGTTGATAGCCCATGAGAACCACTTGTCGTTTGATGTGATTCCTGCATGTCGGAATGCTATGTCGAGTTTCCGGTTGTTCGGTTGAATATCCAATGAAGGAACAAGGCGAGTTGAGGTAGATTGCAACATGTGGTGAATTTTTGTTTGTTCATGAAAGTGTGTGATTGACATGTTTGTGTTTGTTACTGAGAACTAGTGGTATTAATGTTGATGGTAGAACAGGGTACCCCGAGGAAGGAGGAATACAGCTGGAAGGTAGGCGACAAATAAAGGGGAAATTGGTTTACTGCACTTTTATGTTTTTCGATATGGTTTCTTCTTTTTTTTAGTTGAAGTATTTTTGGTTGATTATTCTGCAGGTGAGTTGAAGTTTGAAGCCTTTGGGTTATAGACGAATTGGAAGATGATGAGAGCTAGCGTCGGATGAAGAAGGATAGTTTCCTTTCGATTCGCTGAAATTATAATATCAAAATCTTTTGGTGTCTGCATTAATATTAGGCCCCGTACACAGCCTCCTACAAGGTAAACATTATATCCCTGGAACTTGTTTCATTTAAAATTCAAAAATAAAGGGGACCATTCACGATTTCCCTTTTGGCTGATGTCGATTTCTGAATGAACAAAAATACACCATAATTAACCTGACGAAAAAAAATGAATTTGGCAAAGACCAACGTTACCAGACTCATAACCATTATTATTATACTGATAATGAGGGTCTAAATGCAATAGATGCCACAAAAATATTAAACCAAACACCTTCCAGCTATATGTTTTGTCATATCCTTAAATTTTTATCTACCACATATAATATCTGATCATCAATGCTCTCTTATGACCCTTGTGTTTATCTGCATGTGCATGGATAATAGGTGCAAACCGTAACAGGCTAAAATTAAAAGGACAATGAAAAACAAGGGAGAATGGGAGAGGATGAATATGAAGACTGGATTTGTAGACTAACTTTAAGGTGGAAATTTCCATGGAAATGGAAATGGAAGAGTTGTGGTTTATTCAATTGTTATGCTTTCTGTGCACTGTTACTATTGATGTTGTTGGTGACTGGACGGTAACAAGAGTTCTAGAATATGGTGTTCGGCACAAACAGTGATGGTGTATTTGAGCAGAGAAATTTAAAGGTATATTTTTATCTCATTGTATGTTATTACTGTTATTATGAATTCTAAACATGTTTAAATGTCCACATATTGAAGCAACTCAAAATACAGCAAAAAGTATGATAAAGCAAACATTCACATGGCATAAAAATGATGCAAAAGAAGATTCAAATTGATGGATATATGAGAAAATTATGCAGAAGTAAATTGGGAAGAAGAAATACCTATCGGAGTCTCTCTGGTGGAGCTTCAAAAACAGTAAGTTCTCCCTCCCTCTCCTGTTGATGCTCAAACTTTTGTAGCTCTAATTCTTGCTGTGATACTTGAAAAAAGAACTTCTTTTTCTATTTTCTCTCTTGCTGAGTTTTCCTTCTCCTCCTTGAATTTTTTTTTTGTGTCTTTTTCTATCCATGAAGAGCGTTTTTTATAGAGAAATAACAAGGCATTTAGGTGGGAAAACAGTAGGATATTTGAATTATTTTGACAAACTGTTTTGATGCCTTCTTCATGCAGTTTTTCTTTAGCCATTATGATGCAATTTTTAGGCTGTTATGATGCAGGGAAGCAAGCTGTATAGACTGGTTTACAGCAGATTTTTAGCAGTTTTTTCAACAGGTTTTGGACTGATACAAGCTGTTGTTTTTTGATAGCATTTGGGACTGTTTTCCAGCATTTTCTGGCAGCATTTTGGACTGTTTTGCTGTTGTTAGAAGGCTGGAAATGGGCTGTATGTGCAACGACAGTTGGGCTGGAATTCTAGGATATTAGAAATAATATTTTGATTTTAAGTACAAACTTGTATTTCCTTGTAACTTTGTAGTGATAAATTTACATAAAATTGTAACATGAATGGAAACTTGTCTTCAATATATTCTCTCAATTCTTTTGTAATTGTAAACATTTGAATCTTTATAAACTTTTAGTCTTGATGTTTATCTTGATGAAATTCAAAATCTTCCATTTGAATTTGGAAAAGAATTGATTGATATTTGAATGAATTGTTGAATAATGAATGAACAATAATGCAAGCCTTATGACTTCAATCTTGCATTTTGCATTAGAGATCCAAATAAATTTCATGAATTGATCTTGTAATAAAATTGTAACCATCATGTATTTATTCTTGTGATGAATGATTATTCTTGAATCAAATTTATTTTTCCAATATCCTCTTTAATACATGCTTCATGTGAATTCAAATGGCCATGATGTGAATCCATCAAAATAGTCACACAAAAATAACCTTGAATAAATACTAATGTGATGAATGATTATTCTTGAATGAGTCCTTTTTGATAACTTCTATTTAATTAACACTTGAATTCACATGATGAAAATTCCAAGTATTCCGAATAAATTCTTCCGAAACGATCTTGAATTGAATCACCCCACTCTAACGAAATTCACCCCGCGTCATGTAAGTATAAGAAATCGAACCATGCTTAAAAACTTTGAATGGTCACTAGAAGAGGGATTTGAGGCGAAATGTTATCGAATTGAGAAATTGACACAGTGAACTGGACTTAGAGATCTAGAAACTCTTAAATCATGACAGACGTCCCATAAAGGCTTTTCATGGCTTTCTAAACACAATTGTCTTCAACTCTTAAAGAAAACTTGCAGATGACTTTTGGTCGAAGCGTTTGGAATTGGCTTGCATAGCTTGATCTTTTCTTGTAGTTTGAGGCCACTTGTTGAAGAAAGCATGGAAATAAACACACGATTCTCTTGATGAATCAGTCTTCAAGAATCAATGATCAACTGTACTTCTGACTTGAGAGACTCCAAACCCTAATTGAGGCGCGACGTCTAATGCTCTTGATTTAGATCTGTTTCTGCACGTGAAATCAAAGAAGAAAAACATACACTTCATGCTTGATTAGAAGTTGGTTATGCATAAGATAAAATGTTCACAATACTCGATAATCTCTGCACAGGCAATGCTCGAAGGTGAAACGTTCAAAACTGACCATATTTCGTGACCTTGATGCATATAAAGAAAAGAAAAATGAAGATGGGACCTTAGGTCAAAAATTGGGGTATGACGGCTTCCCCTATTTAAGTTTCTTCTATTCAGAGATATGAAGATTGAAATCTTCGTCTTGACGAGATTGAAGGTACTTAAATACAGAATACGCAAATTTTGGCCCTAAGATACCGCCATTTGTGTTTATGATATGAATGTAATATTTGAATCGTATGGGGAATGATGCCGCATGAGACAAACTAATACTAGAGAAATCAAGCACATGATAAAATAATCCACAGGGGAAGAGATTATACTCTACTGGAGAAACAGAGCCATAAACTTCGAATGATACACTCTTATCGGGGAATAACTTCGAGAGAAAGCAACTTTCTGACTCTAACAAAGAAAACAACTTGCATAGGCCACGAAAAAATAGATGGCTACTGACCCAAGATGATTGTGAGTTTACCACTTAGGTCAAAGGTAGACAAAAGATATACCAACTTTTACTGATAATGAACTACCAATTTTTACTAAAGGTAGAGATTTCATAACAAACTTCTCTGCGGGACTTTTACAGAGAGATACCATTTGCTACTGAAATAACATATGGTTGTGGATACGCAAGCTGCTCAAAAAAAGAGGCCGCCACTTGCTGTCTTCAAAAGATATTAATAAACACACAAGCTGCTCAAATAAAGAAGCCACCACTTTCTGTCTTCAAAGGATATTAATAAACACACAAGCTGCTCAAATAAAGAGGCCGCCACTTGTTGCTTCAAAGGATATAAATAACATGCAAGCTGCTCGTGAAGAGACCGCCACTTGCTGTCTTCCAAAGATATCTATAACACGTAAGCTTCTCATGAAGAGACATTCGCTTGTTGTCTTCCAAAGATATATATATATATATATATATATATATATATATATATATATATATATATAGCACACAAGTTGTTCATGAAGATATTGTCGCTCGCTATCTTCCAAAGATATTTATAACATACAAGCTGCTACCGCCACTTGTTGTTACGTCGATATTCCAGAAGAATGTTATGATAACACCATTAGGGAATAAAGTTCTTCTTCAACGGGGAACCATGAATAGGTCCTTTCTGAGGAAACCAAGTATTTAAATGCACAAAATAAATGCACTTTGCATCTAGGTTCCACAGCCTAGAGAAAACCAAAGGGTAGCCTATGTAAGAGACAAAGCTCAATCCAGGAATAAACGAGAGAGAAAACAATAAAACAATACTCCACACAATTAGGAAACAAATCAATTGGGGATTTATCCTATCCAGAGATGGAAAAGGAAGGCTAAAGAAAGATTCTTCCACGAGGATTAGCTTAGTTGGGGAATTAGAAAGGAGGCACACTTTCTGCCTAAGTTGACATTCTATTTGGAAAGAGCAAATATGTTGTTCTAATAGACATAACCAAGGCATACGAACCCAATAAAATTGACAAATACGAATGTGCGTGCATGATGCAAGTGTAAATGAATAAATGAAGGTCATGTATATATTGATAAAACAGATAAAGGAAATAAATTAAAGATGATAAGACATCACAATACAACTAGATACTCGTCCAATCTCAAAGAGATGGGAAAATAACTGGAGATAGAACAAAAAGCTTCATAGGAGCGTATCCTACTACAAGGCTTTAGTCTCTTTGGGGAGGAAGATATTCAAATTTCAATCTTCTAACATCAATAAACCACTGACATGATAACAAAATGTACTTCACTTTGGTTAGGGAGAAAAAATCTTGCTCAACTAGGGATAATTGAATCAAAGCTTAATTGGAATCGCTGGGGAACTACCAAGCTTAGTACTCTACTGGGAACACAAGATGACACAACCAACACCTCATGACGATTTTGAAAGAAGAATCAATATTCATCACACAAGGATGAATTACCATATTGTTTTGCATTTCAAAGATTAACCTTTCTCGGAGTAACTATTAATATTCCTTCCAGTATTCATGACACATTTCAAGATAGGAATACTCTAATTAATTTTGTTTTAAAT